TTTGATCTTTAGCAGCAGGCACTTGAAGTCCTTCTTACTCTCAGCAAGCAAGGTTGTGTTATCTGCATAAGTTATTGATGAGTTTCCCTCTGATCTTGGTACCATATTCTCCCTCATAGAGTCCACCTTCTCTAATTATTTGCTCAGCACACAGATTGAATAGGTATGGAGAAAGCATACAACCCTGACATACATCTTTCTTAATTCTAAACCATGTGGTGTTTTCTTGCTTTGCTTACCAGACAGTGCCTTGGTCTAAGTATCAGTTTCACGCGAGCACAATTGTGTCCTGGGATTCCCATTCTCCTCAGTGTTAGCCATAAGTTGTTATGCTCCACGCAGTCAAATGGCTTTGCTTAGTAAATAATGTACAAATAGAGTTTTTTAAAATAGAGAATGCTCGATATAGAGAAGCCAAAATGAAGAGAAGAAATGATGAAGGAAGAGGTGAGGAGAAGATTTCAAAGGGCAGCTTGAGAAGGCAAAGTATTATAACAAATTGTTCAAAGAACTATAGTTAGAATATAAAAATGGCGGACTTGCTCAGCATTTCTCAAGCTGAACAAATCAAGCCTCAAGTTGCAGTACTTAGGAATTCTATAGGCAAAATCTTGAGTGATGCAAGAAACATCAAAAGAAGAGGAAAGGAAAACAGAGAGTCATTCTGTATTAAAAAAAAAAAAAAAGAAAAGATCAACACTGAACCATTTCCCTGAAGGCACTGGCATAAAAATAAGACACCAGGAATAGACAGAATACCAATTGAGGAAAAAAAAAAAAGAAGTAGAAGAATACCAGTTGAGGCATGTCAGCAAACAGATGCAGCCCTGGGGTGTTCACTAGTCTATGCCAAGAAATGTTGAAGACAGCTAGCTGGCTGTCTGACTAGGAGGGATCCGTATTTGTTCCCACTCCAAGAAAAGGTGAGCCAACAAAATGTGGAAATTATTAGATGATATAATCAATATCACATGTAAGCTTTTATAAAATGATTTATAGTTTCTTTACTTGATCTTAGCCAAAAGGCTGAGAAGCAATTTATAGCTTCTTTCATTTATTTATTTAAATTATTATGCTAGCTTATTTACAAAATTTGAATATATTGTTTTCCAGAACAGATTCTTCCAATTTCCCCTTGTTGTTGTTGTTATGTGCCATCGAGTCGTTTGCGACGCATAGCGACCCTATGTACAACAGCCCTAAACTCTGCTCTATCCTGTGCCAATCGCATTGCCTCTGACACACCCATCCCGATTACCCCAGTCACTGAATCAATCCACCTCATAGAGGGTCTTCCCCTCCTGGACTTTCGTCCCTCTCCAAGGACCTGTCTCTCCTTACAACATGTCCAAAGTATGTTAGACGGAGCCTCAGAATCCTTGACTCCAAGGAGTAGCCTGGTTTAACCCTCTCCAGGATGAATCTGTTTGTTTTCCTGGCAGTCCATGGTACATTCAATACTCTTCTCCAGCACCACAGCTCAAAGGCATCAATTCTCCTTCTATCCTCCCTAGTCATTGTCCAACTCTCTGATGCATAGCAAGTGATTGCAAAGACCATGGCCTGTATCAGGCGCACCTTAGTCTCCAGAGAGACACCGTTGCTCTTGAGTACTTTAGAGAGGTCCCTAACCACAGACTTTCCCATCATGATATGTTTTTTGATTTCCTGGCTGCTGGTGCCAAGAGTGTTGACCGTGGAGCCGAGCAAACTGAAGCTGTGGACAATCTCAATCTCTTCACCATTCATCCTGATGCTACCAATTTGTCCAGTGGTGAGAATCTTTGTCTTCTTAACATTGATCCTCAGTCCATACTGAAGGTTGTAGTCTTTGACCCTCTGCAGCCAATTTCCCTTACCCCTCATCAAATTGCACAACCCCAATGATTAATCCTCCATCCCCTTGCACATTCTCATCCCTCTGCTTCCACCCCCTCCATCCTTATACTCATTCTACAGTAATGGTTTTATACAATATTTGACCTTGTGGGACTGAGTTAGTGCACTCAGCATAATGCTCTCCAGCTCCTCCCAAGTTAGGGAATAATTTACAAAATCCTTGCTCCTGCCTGCTGCATAGTATTCCATTGTGTGAATGTACCATCGTTTCCTAATTCTTCTGTTTGTGGTTGGACATCTAGGCCGTTTCCATGTTCTTGTGATGGTGAATAATGCTGCTATGAACACTGGTGCTTTTATTAATTCATTGTCATTCATTCACACACACAACAGAACTTAGTTCTATTCTGATATCTGAAAGGTCCCTTGGTCCAATCCACCATCTGCTTCATGGGAGGGAAGTCTGCTTTCATGAAGGTTTACAGCTTCTGAAATCAGACAGAGGGTTACTGGAGGGTTACTCTACTGTGGCAGGTTTCATCGCTTCTGGGGCTCAGGGACCAGGACAGACGTCCTGTCATCTCAGTGCGTATTTTTCATCTTTGTCATCTTGAATCTTCAAGATCAATATCCAGATAAAACCAGCTCTGTCAAAATCTGTCTTAAACTCTTCTCATGCCCGATGTTTCAACCTGTTGCTCTTCCCTCTTCTTCAGCCACCACATAACTAGGAGTGCCCCCCCATCAAGCTTGGGTGACCGACCTGGGTATGCTGTTAATCAGGAACCAATTTACTTCGGCTACACGGAAGGATTAGCAGAGGATTGCCAAAGCCTGCTGAAGCTGTTTCACTGTTCACATGCATGGAGGGGAAAGTTCACAGGCTGGCTGAACAGTCCTATCTGGATTTGCGTGGCTATTGTTCCAAGAGATTGGACATTATGAACCAAATGACAGAAAGACAGCTGAAACTTAGTAACTGGAAGGTGTCCTACGGTGACCTAGAGGTAAGAAGCTGTGCTGCAATCCTCAAGGCACAAGGAGTCAACCAGTTGTTCTGTGGGAGAAGGATGCGCAATCTCCTCCCGTGTGATTAACCGCCTCTGAAAACTGCTCAGAGGGTCAACTCTAGATCGGTTTGATTCCAAGGTGCAACACAACAGCAATGGGGAAAGAAGTCATGCTCTTTGTATAACTTCCTAGCATAGGCAGACCACAAAATAAAACATTTGACAATATAGAACTTTTTACGTGCTCTCTTTCCATTCAACAAACAAACAAATAAACAAACAAACAAATCTTAACAAACTCTGTCTTCCCTCTATTCTCTAACTTTTAGGATTATTTTGGAACTTTTGGGGCAGTATCTTATACATTGATTGCTCTCAGTAAAGGTGATTTGATCTTTTACTATGAACAATGGTAAAGTAGCGGTAGATGGGGCATGGAACTGGACAGTACTCTGCCCCTCTCCCCATATGCCCAACTTTTTCCTTAAAAATGAAAAAAAAAAAATGTGGATTTACATTATACAGAATCAAGAAAAATGTTGAATCAATACAAACTAGTACTTCTGGTAAAACTGTGAAAATGCCATATCTAAGAAGTAAAATTTCAAAACCAGGCCTGAAAAAAAAAAAAAGAAAGAAAAATCATAACAACTGCAAATTATACTATTTTTATTTGTAATAATATTTAGGTCAGAAACCTTCCTTACTGTGTATTACTAAAGTGATAGCTTAAAATTTAGTATTATCAGATGCATATTTATCTTTTGTATTAAAAATTTCAAGCACATGTAAAACTCAAGAGAACAGCAGTATATATGCATTACTATAGTCAACAATTATGAAATTGGACATATTTGTTTTCTATATTCTAAAAGTACACTCTTGGCATTATATGTATCATAACAATCTGAACAAGGGGTGCAATGTGGGTGGGCTGAGGAAGGGGTAGGATTAGGGGGAAGATAATGTGCAACAATGAGAAAAAATAATGAAAGATAAGTAAAAGCATACTCTTAGCAGAAAATTTTCATGCAGATCATTTATGCTTTTATAATCACTAGCATACAATTTATTTTTTAAAAATGCAGGGAGTACTGGTTTTGAATAGCTATTTCAGTTTGGTGGTAAATACTTAATTAAATTAATTGAAAGTACTGACCTCAGTACTATTATAGGCGTATTTGTATTACAGAAAATTTCAAGGGGAAATGAATTCTTGTTCTGTGCAATTGAAATACAGAAACATTTAAACTAAGGAGATTTTTATTTTCTTGGCCACTATAATAACTAGCCAACATTTTGTGTACGTATGATATGCCAAACATTGCACTAAGGGCAATGTTATATAGGTACCTGGTCTTCAAATAAACCTTTGAGGTTCCCTTCTTAGTTGCATTTTATAGATTAGGATTCTGAGGCTGAGAGAGATTAATTCAAATAATTATCCAGTTATCTCAGCGAGGATTGGGCAGAATCAATTAGTTTTCCATATTTCAAGTGTTATTTTAAAAATTGTATTTAAGTTCTATGAATATTATTTTGAAGACCATAAAAGTTTGTTACTGTCTGTAGAAAGCATGTGAAGATGCACTTATAACAGCAAAGCAATGCTTAGCTTTGTCCAGACACAAGAAGCCAGGAGAAAAACCCCAAACTTGAATTAACACCCTCATTTGAAGAACTAACTTCCAGAATTGCAAGACAATACATTTCTTTAAGGTAAAAGGAAAAAGAATGAAAAGCATTTTCTGTTTATGCCCAGGGAAAAGCAGTGCAGCAACATCTTCAACAGTCATTGTTTAAATGAATGAACTTTTACACAGATAGACTAAACACTGATGGGAAATGAATTAACCACCAGAAGGATTACAAGAAGGCACCACATTTGCCCAGATGAAAGGAAAAGATCAAGGTGAACTTTTGAATGAATAAAAAAATGTAAAAATTTTAAAAAAATACTTGAAAAATATTTAAAAATGTAAAATTCTGAAAAAACAGCATTTTAAAAATTTACAGGAGATGAATGAAAATGGCTTGAGTTTCTAGATTTTGTATTTTCTATATGTAACAAATCAGATAAGTAGCCCACGTTATTTGCCCTTAGACTAAAACATGCATTTGATCTACAAACAACAAAAAATTGTGACTTACTTGCCAGCTGCAATAAGTTCCTTCTCTCCGTAGTCAGAGGAGTATTTCCAGGTTGTTTCAACAATCCCAATGTAGTAATGCTTGTCTTTTGTCCAGACTGAGGGGCTATATGCAACCAAAAAAATACCAAGCAGCAAAATCTTCATTATTTTTTTTCCCCCGTCTTGGGACCTTGAAAGTGTGAAATGAAATCAGAAGCAACTAATTTTATAAATAAGAATTTCTCAATTTATTTGCCTTGTTGACACAATTTGATGTTGCACAAGAGGAAATTGTTTCATGAAAGTAAATAGCATTTTCCAATTCTGTCTGCTTCTCGGAAAACCAGGAAAAATAGTTATTTGTTGCCAAACTTCTCTGATTACCGGTAAAAAGCTGACAGTTATTGTTGGAGGCACTAGAGTGTTGAGACTTGGTTTCTTCTTGTGTTTATCGTTTACATTCCAGGAAGGCAGAGACCATCTCTAAAAGCTTCCTTTGTTCCTCCAATAACACGCCACAGCACAGTGCCGAGCAGCCAGCAAACTTTTAATAGAGCAGGATACAAAACAAATCAAAGCATGTAGCAGTGTATTGCTTCTAAAACCTTAGCACAAACTTATTTAAGATAAAAAACCATGCTATTCAGTGTAGCAAGCTTAACTAATGAAAAAGAAAATCTTCACTTTGAAAGATTTACTGATTCAGTGAGTTCCTGAGCACAGCTCTAAGCATACAAGAATCTTACCAGACTCTATATATGGCTAGATGGCATATAACTAGAAGAGTGTAATGACTGATAGTTCCATTTTTATAAAAATGTGTTTCTTCATTGTGTTAAAAGGTGGTATAGTCCACAGGAGCTCTGAGTCTACTGCAAACAGAAAGACGGTGGAAGTCCCCCAACGTATTCTGGCAGTTCAAATCCACCAGTGACTCCTTTGTAAAAAGATGCTGTCTTTTCCTGTGTGATTTACAGCTATGAGTTTGTTCTGGCTGATGGCAATGAGTGAGAGAACATTTGTCTGTTTCAGTTATGTGAAATCATGGGTCCTTTTGTGATTGATTTATTTCACTCAATGTAATGCTTACACAGCTCATGCATCCTGCTGCATGTATTAGGAATTAATTTCTCTGTATGACTGAATGATACTCATTTTATGACTATAGAATATTTGTCCCTTCATCTGTTGATAGTCATTTAAGCTGTTTCTCGGCTACTGTGAGCAGCACTGCAATGAACACAGGTGTGAAAGTTTGTATTCTTGATTTTCTTTTGTGCATAATTAGGATTCGGATATTTGAATAATTAACTTTTTGAGCAGTAGTCAAACTATATTCCACAGTTATTTGTATAATTTTTACTTTTCATTCCCAGAAGCAATATATGAATACTTCAATGTCTCTAGGTAATTTCACTTTAATCAGCAAAGAAATCAGCCATCAGTAAATATGTCTTCCATGACATAGGTTAGACTTAATAAATATAAAATATGCTAATTTAGATATTTGGGATATATTTTTGATGTGGACATGAATTTCAGAATGGAAGATTTTTTAAAAAAAATTCTTTTTATGGGGGGAGGAGTGGGCAGGGAGAAAAGTGCAACAATGAGTGAATGGAAATCCAAAGTCTCTGTAAATTTTCATTAAAATTAATTAAAAAAACTCTTTTTATTATTTGTGTGTGTGTGTGTGTGTGTGTGTGTGCGCGCGCGCGCGCGCGTGCCATCAAATTGGATCTGTCTGGTACAAGAGGCGATTGTCCCTCCTTCTCCAGCAGGGCTTCTGGTGGAGTCGAACCACGCGCCTCTGGGATTGAAGTCAGAGCGGAAGACTTTTTAAAATATTACATTGCTGTCTTTCCATTGCTGATCTCTAATGTTTGTCTAACACTACAAAGTAGGGTGTCGTTTTCTTTAACTAAAGAAAATCCTGATAGTTACACTGAACATTTTTTGCTAAAGTAGCTTTTTTTTTTTCCTTTCAAGTGTTTTGTAACTATTTGCCACAGTATTATGTAACTATTTGCCAAGGGCTGTTTGCTGAAATAGATAGGTATAGAAGAAAAGTGCCCTGTTGTTTGAAGAATTAATTTAACAAATATCATTGTACAAGTCTTCTGTGTGCCAGGCCCTGTTCTAGGAATGGGCCTCCACTGAATGTGTGCATACAATTGATGTGAGTTTCTACTGCTGTGGAACATAAGGTTGCACTTGAAGAAGCCAGTAATGTACAAACGAAAAGGGAAGTAAGACAGTATTAGTCACAAATACTTTGGAGGAAAAGAAATTGAGGCAAGGCAGTAATGAGTGCTGGGGAATCCATAAACATGAAGATAAAAATCTGACACCAGCACATGAGCCTCTGAGTCTCAATCTCTTCATGTGCAAAACTCCAATCTTACAGACTTGTTATTCAAAGTCACTGAATTGGTTCATGTTAAGGCATGCAGTGGAAGAGGGCCTCACCCCACCCAACCAGCAAAAACCTCATTTTGATTGAAAAAGCCAAGTACATCCCCCTGCAAGAACCGCCTTACACCACCGTGTCCTTAATACTCATTGAGGGGGAGCTGAAACCTTTCCCAGACTCCTCTGGCCAAGCCCTGTACCTTGTAAAATGCTGCTGCCCAAAGGGCCTTCTTCCCCACCCCAGTGGGGTATAAAGGTCTTACTTGAGCAGTTCATTCTCCAGCTGGGGGATTTTCATTTTTACTTTTCCTCTGTAATTGGCAGGAAGCCACTCTGAGCCAGCAGCTGTCATTGCTTCTCATTCTCTGCTCAGTGCACCCACAGAGCTCTCTGCAAGAGGGAAGGATAATGATCTGAGCATAGCAACCAGCCCTGAGGTCACTTCTGCAAATTCTACCCCAAAATGGTTCAGATGCTCATCAAGGCCTCCAGGGCTGCACACTCTGACTGGTGGTGAAAGGAAATGGTTAAAGAGACGGTTCCTCCTCTGGCCAGCGCTAGTGAACATGACGCAGGAAGGGTCATGAGGGCATATCTCTGTTCTGTTTGTGACACTTCTCTCCCAATCAAAAGGCATGTGCAGCAGGAAGCTGGGAGAAGTGCTCTGCTCGCAGCTGAGAGAATTGTTTGAAAAAGAAGAGAGGCCACCATGGGGCGCTGATAAAGAGGCACTCCTTGGCAGAGTCCTCAAAGGCTTCAAACCCCTTACAGGATTGAAGACCTGGTCCTTATAACGAATGATTCTGTGTTTCAGGAATTTCTGAATTCAAGGAAGGCAACCCAACCTCCCAAGAAGGATGTGTGTGTGTGTGTGTGTGTGTGTGTGTGTGTGTGTGTGTGTGAATTAACAAAGAAGAGCAGGGGAGGGGTGACAAGGGGGAGAATAGGGGATACTGGGTGCGGAGAAGGGTGATCAGAAGAGGTTTAATAGCATAGGTTACAGGGGGTGGGGAAAGGAAAAGAAAAAAAGAATTTTAAACTGATCCAAATAGTCTTTGTTTCTTTGCCCAGTTTTACCTCAGAACCCCAAGACATGCTGTTACAGTTTATTATAGTTACTACAAGCCGTTTCATAACTTGGGTAGAGTTACACAGCTCATGTTCTAATGATTCTACGTGATTCAATTCTTTGCTGTCTTAAAGATTTCTGGACGGAATGAACCGTTTCTGTAACTAGCCTGAGGCACAGAATGGTTACAATCGAGGAAGCACGTTTCTTTAGAGAATGTAGCTTCAGCTTATTTCTGTCTGACATGAAGCACCTCTCTTTACTACACTATTCCTGCAGATCCCCTTGAGTCTCATTCTGTGAGAACTGCTCTTATGTAACCTCTGTTCATGACAAAATTGTTAAGAAGCAAACAGCCAAGGAATGCCCTTCAATTTGTAGGAGCCAGAGATGGCTGGGTGTAAAATAGTAGGACAGTCTATCTGTGACCTGTTAGACCAATCCATTACTTTCTTTTTTATAGGAAAGTCTGCAACTCTGGAATTTTATAGGTGTGTATAGTCATCGATAGAGTTCGATAATGAATATCCTTATTTGACCCAGCATGGTGAGAGTTGTTCTGTTGGCCAGTTCCTGATTGTGAAGGGGCCACTGGCCACCCATTTGTGGATCACAGCCTAGTCCATCAACTCCTGGCATGCTCAGTGCTCAGAGCAGGGCAACAGAGAAAGCTTAAACTCTAATCTAACTCTTTCACTCCTGTTCTCCCATTATTGTCAATGATCTAGAAATCAAAGCATGTAATTTATTAACAGTGAAAAAAAATCACATTATTTGAACTACTCTTAGAAAAGATTAGAGGCAAACTTAGTCACTGGACTTGATTACATAGATCTTCAAGTAAGAGCTTTTCTTGTAATGTTTTCTTCTGTGAACATCCTTGCCTCCAAGCCTTCCTGCTTCTACCTCAGGCTGACCTCAGTGTCTCTGAGGTTGAGAATAGTTGCTTTGGTATGCATAATGCTGACCACACTTACCACTTCATGTTATAATGAATTCTTTATGTGACTTTTTGCCTCAAATCAATTGGGCTTTCTAGAGTCAATGACTGCACTATTTTGTACAAATTCCAAGCATTTACTGTATTGCCTGACATAGTTGTTTTTGGTGGGGTTTTTTTTTTCTTTCTTTTAGAAAAACCCCAACAAAACTACAGAACTGTATGAAGAAGGCTTGGGTTTTTTTTTTTTTTAAGCCAAGGGGAACATCAGTACATCAGTGTACCTGTCACAGTTTTCCAGAGGACAATGCATCCCTGAACTCTCTGGTTCAGGAACTTGAGCCCTTGAACCCTATAGTCCCCAGGCCAAGAGAGAAGCACCGATGTAAAGGTTTCTGAAAGAATATTACCCACCCCTGGGCATTACTCAATAGTAACAGCCTAATATCCACCAAGAAAAGCTTCACATAACATCAAGAAAGCAGCAGGCAATTTCAAACATTATGAAAAAACAAAATAATCCTCCAAAGCAGAGCATATTGTAGTCCTAAAGTACTGAAGAGCAATGGTGTTTCTCTGGAGACTAAGGTGTGTCTGATACAGGCCATGGTCTTCACAATCACTTGTTATGCATCAGAGAGTTGGACAATGACCAAGGAGGATAGAGGAATTGATGCCTTTGAGCTGTGGTGCTGGAGAAGAGTATTGAGAGTACCATGGACTGCTAGGAAAACAAACATATTC